AAGGAATCTTTACTTAAATATGAGAACAAATATGTTAGCAACATTTTACAAAGTGTTCTGGTGCTTTGTAATGGAAGTGAAAATCTTTGGTTTAAAAGTAATTTGAAAAGAAAGGTATTTTCACATTTTACAAGTAACTTAAACTGATCGACCAACCCTTAGAACTGTTACAACTCTTACTGTTATAAAATATTTACCTTATTCTTTGAGGTGGAGTACTCTCTTATTTAATCAGATCATTGTAATGTAAAAGAAAAAACCTTTATTAGATACTGAAATTATAGCCAAATATTGCAATAATCAAATTTAAATATTCAATAGGAAATGGCTTTTTGGAGTTGGGGGAGAGAAAGAAAAACAATTTTTAAACAAACTTTGAATAGCTATTTTACATACATGTTTCCTGCCTTATTTTTAATAGGGTCTTACTGGACAGAGCTCACTCAGACTATGATAGTATGTTTCGCCATCTGGATTTGGAAATGCTTTCCTCACCACAACATTCTCCAGTCAATCAGTCTGCCATTACCTCAGAAACAAATACCTCGGACAAATCTTTCTCTAAAGACCTCAGTCAGATACTAGTCAATATCAAGTCATGTAGATGGCGGCATTTTAGGCCTCGGACACCATTCCTACATGACAGTGACAATGATGAACTCTCCTGTAGAAAATTATATAGAAGTTTAACTCGAACAGGAACAGCACAACCTGGGACCCAGACATGCAGTACCTCTACGCAAAGTAAAAGTAGCAGTGGTTCAGCACACTTTGGTATGTTTATTTGTTATAATGTCATTTCTATGGAAATGTCAGGCTTATCAATTTTTTGAATATGTGGCTTATTATATTAATGACTAAAAGTCCTTTTCTCAAAGTAGTTAAGAAAAAGAAAGACCTAGGTTTAAGTATTTATTTGAATCCTGTTTGTACAAATGATTTCATTTAAACAAAACCACATACAAAGGGGTGGTTTATTACTACAGGGTGGGACAAAAGTAGGTTTACAGTTGTTCATATGGAAAATAATATAATAATTAAATAATAATACATGAATAAACTCAAGTGTTTTGCATACCCACAACTGTACAACTATTCTTCCCCCATCCTGTATTTAATGTATAAAATTTGTTTTCCTGGGAACCACAAGATTGAGCAATTATATTTTCAAAATAATATGAAAAAAAATGGACCATAAATTATTGCTCATTTCTTTAGTCTTTCACTTAGACTGCTTAAAAGTAGACCAGCAAATTAAATTGATAGACATGCAAAGTTTTATCTGTCACAGTAATTCAGAGTAATTTGTAAGAGAAAAGTAATTTTTCACAGAACAATATTTAAAAGATTATTTTAATAATTTCAGAAACATTTTTAGATATTTACTGTAGCATTATGGCTACTTTGTGAAATGTGTCTAAAATAAATGCTGTCTACTTAAAATATTTCTAAAAATTTAGCTTTCTATTTGAAAGCAATAGATGTGTTTTTTGAGGCATGTAGATTATAGAAATCCACTGTTAACCTATTGTACGCCATAAGCGTCTGTAGACGCAAGCAGGGGGACCTGCCACACACGCCAGGCGCGTCTATAAAAAAAATGTTTTCCCTAAATGGCAGCCCTGACCAACTTTAAAATCATTTTTCATGAGAATTTTCAGCTGAAAATATTCAAGAACACCAGAATTGTGAGCAATATATTTATTTTTATAATATTCATTGCAAATTGATTTTTTAAATTAAATTCAAAATACCGTGGCTTGTGGGGATGGTTTCCGTTTTGGATGCATGGTAGTTAATTGGTTAAAATTATATAATTATATTACTCCAGATTTTTGTGAAGATAACTTAAATACAGTTTTAGAAAGGACTATAAAGATATTTATTCTGTTCCCCTAATTATGTGGTAAGGCTACAGTAAAACCTTCTAATAAATATGAAAATGTGTTTATTCTTAAAGACCTCCAGAAAAGATTTCATAAATAATTTACTTTGTGGTTGGAAAAAAAGTAGTTCTATGAAGTGGAAGTCTTTTCAGCTCATAAGAAAAATAATCTTTTCAGAAATTAACTAGAAGATAATCAAAATTTTCTGAGGTTTAACAGATTATCTATAATCCCATTCATTTCAGTCTATATTATGAAGAGTCAGTTTCTGCTTTTATAGTCTTAAACAGAATGGAGGACTTGTTTATACTGTGGGTGTAGAGATTCTAAATGTATAAACTTGTAATATGTTTCCCCTGATAAAGATTTTTAAGCTATGTAAAATTCTTTGACAGTTCTCATTGAAAATTGGCATATTCCATCAATCCCCATCTTTTCCACCTCTTAGAATAGAGAAGTTGAATTGTGTAACCATCCTTAGGTTCTTGTAGTGATCTTTTTAATGTAAATTGTTTTGCTCTACAACTTAAGTAAGCATTGGTACTGTAAAACTTACTTGATTTGTGTTGGCCAAAGAATATTAAAAGGTGAACATTGAGCAGAAGTATTACCAAAAGTTTAGGTGAAAAAAATCTTCAGTAAATTCTAATTTTCTTTTTAATTATTTCCTTCCTTTATATATGTGATATGCCTTTTTTAAAATGGGTTTATCAGTTTTTTTCTGTTGCACATAATTATTTTTAGTTTTCCCTTCAATTTTACTAGAGCTTCCTTATGCTTGGAGAATAGATGCCTACAGATTGCTGTAGAGTATCACTTTTTTCTTTCATATATGTGAATATTCCAGAAACCTAAAGCTTTTCTCTTTATGCTCTGTAGAGTGCATTACAGTGGAGTTCCATCAAACATACTTTTAAGTGAATTCAACTATAGGCCCCTGGAGGAAAAAAAAAAATTAGCAGTTCAAATGTTATACAGGATTCTGAATATAATTCTACTAAAAGAATGTATTTGCTGAAGTGGCCACTATGGGAATGGGAGAAGTGAATCTTTATTTTCTCCTGATAGCATCAGTGCCTGCATTGATGCTTCATTCATAGGTTAATTATCTCACTTAAAGCAGTGTAATTATAGTTTTAAAGTTTTGGGGGGGGCGGGGACGGTTATATAACATGGCCCACAGATGCTACTTCATCTGATACTCAACCACAGAAACTCGAATCTAGTCTGATGTCAGAAGAATAACTGGCTGTGTTGGGCTTATTGAAAGAAATGGGTCTGTATCACATGATGCACTCTTGAGGATTTTGTATGAGTTAATTTTTACTTTACCAGCTTTCAAACTTACCATTATATGAGATATGAGTCAGTTGATACACTTAGCCTGCTGTTCAACCCAAATTGGTGGATTTTGATTTAGACATTTTTTATTATTCTGTCATTGTTTTAAATGTTAACTAATGTGTGCTGTGGTGTAGTGATGCCCTCTGGACTGATTTTCCCTTTTCTAAATAATCATCTATAAGGGCTTAATTATTCTCGTTTTCAAATAGGAAATTCTAAATGAGGATATCAGGAGCCCATTATTTTTAGTAAAGGGAATGAGGTTTAGCACACTAACTTTTGTAGTCTCTCTTTTAGTTACTCAGAATCTTTTTTGCTTCCCAATCTTGACCTTCTTGCATAGTTGTGTGGCCAAATGGGTAATCTGGTTAGTCAGATGCTACAGTGCTTTGTCCTTTGGATACTATACAGCAGAATGACATAATGTTGAGGGACTTAGGAAGGCTTACTATATGTGTATTTATAATTTTCAAGACTAGATTTTAGCACTTACAGATAAATTGCATTTTTAATAATCTTAATATGTGGTTTGAACGGTTTGCAAATTTTTTTTTTTTAACTGATAAAAGAACCTTTGAAATGTAGTCTTTGTTCAGTGACTAAGTATTATTTGTATGTATTTGAGTTTGGGAGATACCACATGTCAGTTAACACCTTTTATCATAACTAGAAAGGACTCTATATAATTCAAAAAGACTAAAAACAGAAAAGTGATTTTTAAACCACCATTATATGTTCAGGATTTGAATTCCTAGCTCCCAGTGAAATTTCATCAGCAAACTAAATCGGTTTTCTAAGCTCACATTTCTGCACTAAAGACTTTATTTTCATAAGTGAAAAGGAAATTTGTAGCTAGAATATTATATTCTAAGTCTCAATATCTATAGTTTACTTAATGCAATTTACTTGAGTTTGTAATATAAAATTTTAATTTTACTATAGAAAAGGAACTCTAGATTTGAGCACTGAATATTTTCTTGTTGGATTTTGTAAATCTACAAGACTTTAATCCTTATCTAAATGTGTTTCAAAATTCAGAATTGCATCCTCAACAATCTCAACTAGAACCCCTAGTAAAATACATTAACAGATGATCTACAGTTTTACAGATACACACAAGAGTAGTCATACTAAGCAGAATGTCTGACCATAGATAATTTCATGTTCAAGTCATTTGCAGCCAAAAGAATTCAGGTTCAGTCATGTTTTGCCATTAAATGTGTTACCAAACTTCTGTTTTCAAATTGGATTTCTCTGTGGCTGATAAATGTTATAAACCTCAATCTAAACTTTATCAATTCAAGCTTACTAATTAGATGTTCATACTTTAATACTGTTTGGAGTCATTTCATTTTATATTTATTTCTTCAAAGTTAACTTTTTTCTTATATTAAACTTCTTGCCTGTATGCTGCTCAAAGAACGTGTAATTGAGGGGTATCTTTTAAAATAGGTGTTTGGGTTTGTTAAGGATTTTTGTTGTTGTTATTGTTGGTTTTTAACAAAATACACATTTTGGTAATCTAGACTCCATTTTCTCAAACTGAATTTTTAAATTGTTTATTTTTTTCCTAAGTACCTGTCACCCTCCCCACCTGCACTTAGATCATTTTAGTTGATCTGCTCCAGCTAGAGGAATGTGACCTAAAGGGCAGAACCCTGAGCTACCAGTTATTTCCTTGTATAAGAATTGGACTCGTAAAATCTTAGATTATTTCATCTAAATTCCTACCCCCAGACAGTTTCTGACCTCTGCCTCTAGTGAGGGCAAATTCAACAGCTTACCTAATCAGGTTATTGTACACTTGGGTGTCTTGCTTAGAAGTTTGTCCATATATTGGACAAAAGCTACCTCCTTAAATTTAAATATTCTGGTTCCTGTTTTGCCTTTGGAAGCACATGAATATGTTTTCTTGATCTCCAACATCAAAGTGTCCTTCAAATATTTGAAGTCCTTTTGTGCCCCTTTATAATTCTCAGCTTTTAATTGTGTCCCTCACATCACTCTTCTTCACTGCCTGCCCTAGACTCCTGTTTATTAGGTGCTGAATATACAAGATTTTTTAAATACTTGATTCACACTATCAGTACATAAAATTTGATTCTCTCATATAAATAATACTAAATCTAAAACAAACTTGCCTATATCTTTTCATATTGAAAATCTCATTGGTTTGGGGGTGGGTTTTTCCCCGTCATCTAGTAAATATCTTTGTGACCTCGGATGAAAGTCTCTTCATCTCTATTAGGAGGTTGTAGGAGTAAATCACTATAAGGATCCCTCCTAATTTAAAAATTTTTGGTTCTGTGAAATGATTTTGATGCTGTCTACAAAACCATCTTGTCCATCTTTGTGTGAATTGCAAACTTTACCACACCATAATATTTGGAGGTTAGACATACAACCTAAAAACTTTCTACCTTGATAGAGATTTAGGGAAATATGGTCATTTTTATTTATTTCCGCTTAGCATTTGCTTGCACTTTGAATTATAATGACATCCAGGTGTTCTTGGTTTTCTGTATAAATAATAATGTAAAACCCAGTTCAGATTGTACTTGGCCCAGTTTACTACCTTACCAAGCTTTCCTTTCATTTACACAGCCTTTTGGATTGGAATTTTATGTCTCAGAAGAAATTTAAAATCTTAGCATTTCATGCCTAAAAAGGACTACAATCATCACTTATTTAATCTCTTCTATATTTTAGATGAACATACTGAGTCCCAAAAGGTTAAGTAACCTGCCTAGGTATACTCTACTAGTTATGATAGACCCGAGAACTAAAATAACAATCAAGATGTCTTGGCCCCCAGACTCATGGTTTTTACTACCATTGCTTCCAGCTCATACATTATCTGTACAGTTCATCAAGATCATTTATCAAAAATATCCAGAGAAAATTTTAGAACTAAACTCTAGAATATAGAGATATCTAAGAAATGGGCTAACAGTGATCTAAAATGTCAGGTGCATTGTTATTTCTAAATCCGTTCTCAGGAGGAAGTTAACAGTTGTTAAAAACTGAAAGTCACGAAACCCTCAGAGACCAAGCATTAAAATGTTGATTTAAATAGGGCAAAAATATTTGGAACCTTTATTCAAATCAACTTCCAATTATTGCTAAATTTTTTATTAAACCACACACAAATGTATATGTCTGTCTACTATACTGAACACTTGACATTAATAAAGATGAGAAAAAAATAGAGATTGAACTAAGGAAAAAACACATACACAAATACTAGCAAAGATCAACAACAGAAAATTTCCATTTATATAAATGGAGTTTTGTATATATAGGTTTTTAGTGAATGCTAAAGTATTGATTTTCTAGGTCTGTACTGACCTGATCTTCCAGAATGGTTCCTTTTTTAAAAAACTTACTGAGCATTCCCTACTAAGGAAATTCAAGACTTATGCAATTTCTCAAATTTAGGAAATTAAAGTGTAAATCTCAAGAACATATTAGCAAAACTAATAATATTATATTAATTATAAACCAGAATAAATTTTTGTAGATTTTCTTCAAGTTCTGATTCAACACATTTCTGGTATATGGAAATGGTGGTGCTGACAGAAAGTTACTTTTTTATGTCAATATTCAGGGATTATCCTATTAGTAATAAAAATCTTCCCTGTAGGAATCAGATCTGAGGATTTCAAACACAGAAAAACTCATCAAAGAACAGATATCAATTAAATAGATTTATAACACAGAATTTAAAAATCAAAAGAAATTATTTTTTTGTTCTTGTTGCCCAAAAACTTAGTTCAACTCAAGTTTAAGAGCTGGTGTAGATACTAACTTCTTTCATGATTTTCTGATCCATTCAAAATATGGTAGAATTTCTACCTAAACATGTTGTAGTTGTACAAGGTGGACGCTGTATACTGGTAGATAAAGATTCTTCATGAGTTATGTGAAAACTACAAAACTTGATGAAGTGATAATCTAGATAAATCATCAAAACAACAACAAATTAGGTGGCAGTATTTTGAAAACATTCAACTTGAGATTGAGGAAATTTGCATGATTTATTATAGATTCCCTGATACCCAGGGATGCATGATAACCCTTTTTTTGTTTTGTTTTGAAATAATTCTTACCTAAACATTGCAGGCTTCTTAAAGAAGCCTTTAAGGTCAGATGTTGTGATTGTATGTGCTTTTTTTTTTTTCCTTTTTTAATTGGCGAAATCAAAAAAAGATAAAAGGTTTCCTTTTTAAAAACTGAACACACTTTTTGGGGGGTAATAAATGAACATTTTTTTGTTTGTTTTTTTTAGAACTGAGCTCTCCATAGACAAACATAAGTAGCATAACACAGTGTCTTTCCTCAGACATCATTCTGTACAGTAAATCAACATAAACAACTCCGTTCTTATTGACTGGATTTTTTCCAGGTGGGTTATTTGAGTGGGGAAAATTAATTAACATATGGAGCCTCTTTTTTTCCAGTGTTAAACTTAAAGAATGGGTTCTTTAAAATAAAAAAGAAAGGTAATAAACCAACAACAACCTTATGTTTTATATAGAGGAAATATTTGTAATAACTAAAATTAGAAAATATGTAGAACAGTTATGTTAGGGATTGCTATCTGAATGCATTGGGACAGTAATATGAGTAAATTAGAAACCTAATGGTAATTATCAGATTTCTTCTCAAGCTCAGTGCAAAGTTGAATTTCAGATATGTGGATTTTTTAAAAAGCTGGTATTTCCATTTTACTCGAGTGTGGCAGCTTACAGAAATAATGGTTCTGCAACTTGGGAAGTGAGCAGTTCTCTTTCCTATGTTTAACTCAGGAAGTTTAATTTTGTTTTTCTTTAGATTCAACCCACTCTTGTGAAATGTGGTTGTAAGCTTAAATTTTCATTTGAAAGTGATCTTTAGCAGGACCATGAGCTTTTATCAAATGCTTTAATTTTGCACAGACTTTTTTTAATGCTGAAATTTTACTATTGTCAAAAGTGTATGGTATTGTGCATTTTTATAAAGTGTTTCCTCATTTTATGTTCAGCATTTACAGCCGAACAATACCAGCAACATCAACAGCAACTGGCACTAATGCAGAAACAGCAGCTTGCACAAATTCAGCAACAGCAAGCAAATAGTAATTCCTCCACCAACACTTCACAGGTGAGGGATTTGTCTGTCTTATGATTATCCCTCATTGTTTCCCACCAGAGTTCATCTCTAATTACCAACTGTTGTCATAGAACCTTGCATCTAACCAGCAGAAAAGTGGCTTTCACCTGAATCTACATCATAGCCATTCTATACAGGGTTTAGAAAGAACATTACAGGTGAGTATAGAAGCTGTTGTCTCTGCTCCCTATTTTAAAAAGTAAAACTAAAAAGCATAGTTATATGAGATGGAGACCCTGTCTTTAAGTCTGACCTGTAGTCTGATATACGTCTTTGATATATAATCCCATTGACACCTAACTCATTATCTTGTTATTTTAATTATTATTACAATTTATTAAAAATTATACTTCTTTTAGAAGAAATCACTTTTAAACCTAAAGCCATTTGAACACATTTAAGGCTTAAAGGCTGAGATTTAAGTCTCTATGCATCTTGGAAGAAAAATTAATGTAAAAAATTCAAGGACCTCTTAATTTCTAGGCTAAGTTCTGATATGATATTTTGTTACTTCCATTCTAAAGGGATAGTTATCTTACTATCCCAAAGGTGTGTGTATGTGTGTATATATGGTAAGTTAGGTGAAAGAAGTTTACCTACATTTATTCATTGTATGTACTTGCAGACCACTGAAATGGTTTACTAGCTTATTTCTTGTGCAACACTTTGTGTTGGAGGTTTATTTCCACGTTATAGGAGGATGATTTTGGTAATTGACATGTCCATGTTATATATTGTCACATATAAAGATCAAAATTCATAATCCTTGAGTTATAAAATTACTAGAACATTCCTCAAATTTGACTGTCAAGGGAGAGAAAGATATTCGAGTGGTTTTCCACTTTTGTTTATATTCATACTGATTTTGCTATACCGGTGTAGCTTTAATATTAATTTGTAACTAAGTGATGCTGATTAGATTTGTTTTTTATTTTCTTTTTAGGGTTTTGTTTCCAAGACTTTGGATTCTGCTAGTGCTCAATTTGCTGCTTCTGCTTTGGTGACATCAGAACAACTGATGGGATTCAAGATGAAGGATGATGTGGTGCTTGGGATTGGGGTGAATGGCGTCCTTCCAGCCTCAGGTAAGGATAATGACATTTAAATGGTTTTGATAAGATTTGTAACACATACCTATAATAAACAGCCAAATTGCACATTGTTTAGATGCTTCTTTCTTTTTCTCTAGGAGTATACAAGGGCTTACACCTCAGTAGTACTACACCAACAGCACCAGTACATATAAGTTCGTCAGCAGCAGGTTCAACTTTGTTACAGCCTTCAAACATTACACAGACTTCAAGTTCCCACAGTGCACTGAGTCATCCAGTAACTGCTGCCAATTCTGCAACAACTCAGGTTCTGATTGGGAACAACATTCGATTAACTGTACCTTCATCAGTTGCCACTGTAAACTCTATTGCCCCCTTAAATGCACGACACATACCTAGGACTTTAAGTGCTGTTCCATCGTCTGCCTTAAAGCTGGCTGCCGCAGCAAACTGTCAAGTTTCCAAGGTCCCATCTTCATCCTCTGTAGATTCAGCCCCAAGGTGAGTAGTTATTTTAAGACTAAAGGATCTAACTTAAATTCTTAGGCATTGCTCTCTACTTATTTGTGGCTTTTGCTCTTTTCTTTATATACTTTAAAAATATGTAGATGAGAATTCCTTATTTATTCTAGAACTAAACAGATAAATGTAATTCAGTATTGTTGAAAATTTGTGCCAAATGGTACAGTGAATATTGCATTTGGGATTTGGGCATCATTTTCTTAGTATGATAACAGCTTATAATGTTCTCACTCTTCTACCTCTGGATGGATGGGGTCCTCTTTTGAATGCTTCTTTGTCTATGATTTCTCCCACAGTTTTTTGTGTAGACAGAACTGATAGAACTCACATGGCTAGAGTGCTAAGCTGCTGTTAATAATGTAAATAAAGCTTACAGTATTCATGCCAGGTCAACTTTTAATGAAACCATCATTTTCTATGCTAACTTGTCTTCTTGGGTTTCAATAGACAGTTTAGAATGTTTGCTCAAGCTCTATTCTGCTTTAAATATTAATGGTAAAGTCCTGCCTTGTACAACGTACTGTGGAAAAACAAAAAGATAAGAAGTTTTCAGTTTAGGTGGAAGACAAGCATAAAAGTGTGAAAAGTTAAATAGTGTTGATTGTAAATAAGATGAAAATCATTCTAGAGGTATCACAAAGCATTATATGCTTATCGAATTAAATGTATAGATTATGGCTATAATTTCAATATTAGGAGACATCTTTTCACACCAGGAGTGTTCTGGGAATGTTCAACAAAATAAGATTAGATTTGATCTTGGGTAGTCAGAGAAAAGGAAGACAAGAGAGTTGGGGAAATATAAATGGGTTGATAGGTTAACAAGTAAACTAGTTTGTGGTTTGGGGAAGGTTAGTAGTTGAAGTTGGAGTGGTAGGAAAAGTCCAGACTGATTGTAGACTTTCTCAGCTGGCAGTGGCCTAGAAGGAGGATCAGGATTTGTAGCAACAAACTGTAGCCTTGAGTTTCCAAATCTATGCATCCCTGTCTGCGTCTGAATTTAATAGTCCTTGTCTGCTCGATACTAATCTATTATTAGTATTCTGGGTCTAGTTACAGTTAACCAATTTAATTCTTAAATATGTAATACATGGTTTTCATCAGTATAGAATTATATAGCCATGGAATATTCAAAGTATATGGAAACCATATTTTTTTAAATCCTCACCCGAGATATGTTTTTATTGATTTGAGAGAGAGATGAAAAGAGAGAAATATCAATCAGTTGCCTCCCATACATGCCCCAACCAGGGATCAAACCTGAAGCCTAGGTGTGTGCCCTGACCAGGAATCAAATCCACAACCTTTTGTTGCACTGGACAACACTTCAACCAACTAAGCCACCCGGCCAGAGGTGGAAAACTTTTTATAAAACTTATTTTAGTCCCTTTGTTTTGAAGATGAGGAAACTGAGATACAGAGACTTCTCTAGGCTCACTCAGCAGTCTAGGTGCTAGAACAACTACGGCCCTGCTCTTCCGATGCCTCATTTAGTAGCTATCCTGCTCTACTCCATATGTAAAATCTTATGTAAAGTCCTAACATGAATGAACCTCAGCCACATATATATGTTCCTTATTTTAAAATTACAAAAGGTTCAGTAAAGGTGGAAATTGAAACAAAAAACTAAAACTTGGCAATTCTTTGTGTTTTTAAATCTAGGTTGGCTACTACAATTCTGTTGGTAATATCATGGAATTTATAAGCTTGACTTCTGGTTGTGTATTTCTGATGATAAGCTATAAAGGTTCCTATTCCTCTACTTGGCTATCTTTCCCAGGAGTCAAATTTCTTTCTATTATTAAAAATATTTGAACTTTTTATTGGGAAATAGTTTTAGTTTGTTCAATTTATATTTGCTAAATTTGTTGCAGAAAAGTAATTTATTGAACTTTATTTCAACAGGGAAAATCATGAATCAGAAAAGCCAGCGCTAAACAGCATAGCAGACAATACAGTAGCGATGGAGGTGACGTAGCTTTCTCAGGAGTGGGACTGCAACCTGGGGACTTGATTAGGTGCTATGCATCAGTAGCATTTTGAATGCAGGGGATGATGGAATGCCACACATGCATTTCTGTGGCAGCTGTGGGGACTTTACAGCAGTGCTCATCTCTCATGCTTCAATTTTTCTTTCCTTACTGTTAATAGGAAAAATCAACATCTGTAAATTAAGAATACAGCAATTATCTGTACAGTACTGCATATTTGTAATACCCTTGTATATATGTTACTTGAATACAGAAATGTTCATTTGTGATGCTTTGCACTTGGGGGTGGGAGGGTGGGAGGGAAATAAATTGCAACAAAGAGTGTGAGATGTGAGATTGTATAGAGATGAAGTGTCATCACATCATGTGCATGGTGCGGAACCTGCTGTTTTATCTATTTATTGTGCCGTGTTTACAGTTTTTTTGTACACTGTACCTTCATTGGTTCCTGTGCTGTAGTAAATGTGTTAGGTAGCTGTGGACTCCTTGGTATTTTGTAAATGGTATAACATAACTTGGTTCCCCTCTGGGTCCCTGAGTTTTTTCTGTATCATGTGAAAAAAAATGGTGACATACATACAGAATTTTACAAAAATAAAAAACGCATCAGTTTAAAAAAAGGGGGGGTGGATTTTAAATGGGGATCTTCCTGGTCTATCATTAGGATAAGTAACAAGCTAAAAATGAAGTCTCTTGAATCTTCCCATCCCCTCTTGCCCACAAAGCTGTGGGTAGTTTCTGGTACTTAAAGCACTAACGTTATGTTGCTGCTCTACAAACAGCCCAGTAATCCCATTTCCTTCCACACCAAAAAGTGTTAAATCAAGTATGCAAATGGAGTCCTTACAACTGGAGTTTGTGTTGTCTTGCCCTTTTTTTTTTTTTTAGCACAAAAGAAATTGTACTTTTTTATTGTCAAATTGTTTAAAAGACTTCATTCTTTACTTGTTCTTACAAAAAGGATATAAGGGAGAAGAATGCAGTAATTACTATACGTGTATCATCATTCCAGTTTCTAAAAACAGCCAGCCAGCTTTTTTCCTTTCAAGATTCTCCAGAAGGCTGCAAGGCCAGAACCACAAATATTGGGTGCCTTCCTTTGGAAATATTTGACCTCTCTTCTGTGAAGAGAATGGTACTTAACAGACTACTACCAGTGCTTTGTCAGTACCGAAGTCTGAATGCCCAGTCCAATGGCATATAATATCTTAAAGGTTTTTAATCCCACCTGGAAAAATTGTGATAGAATTCTCACAAAATAAACCCAGGGCATTACATGTTGACAAACTAATGTGAAGTGGTCTTTTGCTTTTATTTTCACCCCAAGAACTTTTGTGTGACTTTAATTAAAATCATTCAGTAAAGAGGGACATGGGAATGGGAGTGATGACTTAAGTTCATTTTTTCAACAATTATATACTGAGTGATTACTCTGGGGTTATTTTCAGTTCAACAACAGTGAAAAATTCTTGCCCTCATGGAGTAGTTTATAATCTCATTAGATGATTAAAAACAATAAGTAAAATTTAAATGGTATTACGGTAAGTATTAGAGGGGAAGTAATGCAAGGAAGGTAGGAGAAGCTGTGCCAGGATGGTGTGGTTGATGGGCAAGGAAGGTGGTTCCATTTGATCAGAGACTTGAAGTTGGGAGGAAAGCATTGTAGGCAGAAAGAATAAGTACAAAGATTCTGAGATGGGAGTGCATGGTTTGCTAAAGGAATAGCAAGCAGTGTGGCTATTGCAGCAGTAAAGAGTAGACAGGTCAGGGAGTAACCGGGAGCCTGCTTGTGGAGGGCTTGGTCAGGGATCTTAAGGACTTTGACTTTTCCTCCACTTCAGAAAGGAGTTTGGAGCAGAGGAGTGATGTGAACAGGCTCATTCTGGCTTTGGTATACAGAATAGACTGCAGGGAAGACTAGTTAGGAAGCAAATTGTAATAATCCAAGTGAGAGATAATAGTGACAAGGATGGTAGTGAAAAGTAGTTGGATTTTGTTTATATTTTAAAGGTTGACCCAGTAAACTTTTCTCTAAGGAACTGAATAGGTGTGAGGAACATGAGAAAAAGAAGATGTAAGGATGATTGCATGGTATTTGGCCTGAGCAACTGGCCACAGTTGGAAAGCACTGTGGGAGGAGTGGGTTTGGGGGAAACTCAGTTTTGGGCTATCTGAGGTCTCCATTAGACATCCAACTAGAGATGTCATGTAGGCAGTTGCATATAAAAGTCTGGTATTTAAAGGGAGAGGTCTGAGCTGGAATTCAAAACTTGAGTCATCTTCATAGATATTAAAAGTCATGAATCTGGGTGAGATCAAGAGTGGGATTAAATCTTGGTGTAATAAATATAGCTGTCATTGATCGGGAATTCCCTGTCTCAAAGGGACAGACTTACAATTTGGGTAACTACTTTTGTTTATTCTGTTCTGTGTTCTTTAAGGAGAATATAGTGACTGATCAGTGTGACTAAAAATTTAAACTGCTGGTTTAAAGGTATTTAAATAATTAGAATTAAAATTTCTAAATGAAATCTAGCAGATAGAATGAGGCCTGGGCCCACAAAGTGCCTATATGCCTATGGATTGGGGAACAAGAAAATGAGTGCTCATCAAGCATACCCAGTCAGGAATTTGCAGAGTTGCATGGGTAGGGGTAGAAAAGTGGCAGATAGGCAAGTGATCAACATCCATGTAGCACTTACTCTCTTATTTGACCTTACCAACTCCGAGATGCAGAGAAAATACAAATGGCATCTTTCACATTTTAAAATAAGGAAATATACTCAAAACCGCATCTTTGGCCTCTAAATCCTTTGCTATTTTTCTATATATTCTACTACCAGTGTTGTAATAGCCTGAAGTGAAGGGCTTAATGCAAACATGCAGTTTAAACACTAAAATATTAGGGAAAGGGACAAAGGTTATCAAGGGAACTTTGACATCTCGTCTAGTTAATAACTACCACTTACTGTGTATTTACAATGTAATATCATATGCATAGTAATTATCTTGTTTAATCCTCACAATTACCCTTTTAAGCAGATACTAGGATTATCACCATATTGTAGGTGAGATTCACTCAAGGTTGGCTACAGTTGTTGACAGTCCAGGATTTGAACTCATCAACCAAATTCCAAAGCTATAGCCGTTTGTATCCCCTACTTAGTGGGTAAGGTAGGTAAACCGGGAAACAGATTTCTAATATAACTTCTTAGTAACCTTTGTTCCTATTTTGTTCCTAAAGAAATTGGTACTGTTGAGTCTCTTACTCTGCCATTATTATGCTTTTGTTCATTTCATAAGTAGAAGCCCAAAAACCAACCAAACTAAACTTTACCCTAGGTAAATTTTGTTTTCCCAAAAGGATAGTGTTTTCTAAACTCCAAATTTAGGAGCTGTGTTTTCACGAGTATTATAAGAATGTAGAATATGGTGCAATTTTAATGTGTAATAAGTTACAGATGGGTAAGCAGGATTTCACATTCTTCACTAATATACTTACTAGAGTAGATCTGCTTTTGTCTATTTTACATAATGTTCTACATGAATTATTTCAAAAAAATGCTATTTTAATGTTTGAAAGTAACAGCAAAAGGAATTAATAGACAAATCACACTGATTCAAAAAAATATTTCTTAACTATGTCAGGCACTATTGTAGGTGTTGGAGACACAGCACAAACATTAAAATTAGAATTAACATTAAATGCCTAATGGAGTCATCTTGAGACTTTTACAATAAATGTAACATCCAGCTTTGGAAATTAACTGTGGAATATGTTATTGCAAGAGCCAGACAAAAAAATTCAGTATTTTCCCACAAGGATATATTATGAACAAATTAGGTACAAAAGCCTCAAAAAAAAAGTTTCATATAGGCAAAATGTAAAACCATGCATTTTGCAAGAGAATCCAGTCTTAGAAAATGATCTGCCCTACTTTTGTAGTTTATAAAACAAAAGGGTTGGTCTGTAGGTTATCAGTATTGTAGAGCATGAGTCTTTACTGAATACTTTCTGTCCACTTGTATTAGTTTACTATGGCTGTACTAATAAATTACCACAAATGATGGCTTAAAACAACAGAAATTTATTTTCTCACAGTTCTGAAGTTCAAAATAACTTAATGAGTTGCAACCAAGGTGTCAGCAGATCATGCTGTCATTGGAGGCTCTAGGGAGAGAATCTGTTTCTTGTTTTTGTTGCTAAAGTTTTACATATGTCTTCTT